TTAATAAATATTAGAATCTCTGAACTTTTAAATGAAACTAATAATGATATACCTTTAGCTGTATTAACTGTTTTAATATTCTATTACATAGTAGGACAAGTATTACCTACTAATTTAACAGATAATACTATTATATCATCATTATCTAATTCATCATCTGATAAAATACAATTAGATAATACATTATCTAATTTTTTAGATTTAAAACAACAAATTTTATATGTAAGTGGAAAATCTTGAGATAACTCATTAGTAGATATGACACAAATTACTAGTATAGGTAATATAATGTATACTAGTTATGCAATATATTTAATTATAGTTTCTGTTATATTACTTTTAGCTATGGTAGGTTCTATAGTAATTACTATAAAACAAAAATAATAAAACTTTGTTATCTCCATTTTATTTTATTATAAAAAATTATATTATGTTATACACATCTAAAAGTAATTTTCAAAATCACCCATATCATTTAGTATCACCATCTCCATGACCCTTATTTACTAGTATTTCTTTATTTATACTAACTACTTCATCAGTATTGTTTTTCCACGGTTTCCAAGGTTTCCAATACTTAGTATTATTAGCTGTATTTAATGTAATGTACGTTATGGGTTTATGATTTAGAGATGTTATCTCAGAAGGTACTTATTTAGGTAATCATACAAACGCAGTACAAAAAGGATTAAATTTAGGTGTTGGTTTATTTATTATTTCAGAAGTATTCTTTTTCTTAGCAATCTTCTGAGCATTTTTCCATAGTGCTATTTCACCAAGTATAGAATTAGGTGCACAATGACCACCATTAGGTATACAAGGAGTTAATCCTTTTGAATTACCATTATTAAATACAATATTATTATTATCATCTGGTGTTACAATTACTTATGCACATCATTCATTAATACAAGGTAATAGAAAAGGAGCATTATATGGTACAGTTGCTACAATTATATTAGCAGTTATATTCACATTCTTTCAAGGTGTTGAATATACAGTATCTTCTTTCACTATCTCTGATAGTGTTTATGGATCATGTTTCTACTTTGGTACTGGATTCCACGGTTTACACGTTATAGTAGGAACAGCTTTCTTAGCTGTAGGATTATGACGTTTAGCTGCATATCACTTAACAGATCACCATCACCTTGGTTACGAAGCAGGAATTTTATACTGACACTTCGTTGATGTAGTTTGATTATTCTTATACATATCAGTTTACTACTGAGGTTATTAAATTTAATATAATGAAGTAATTTACATTAATGTATTAAACACTTCTATATTAATTTAAATAATAAAGAGACTTTAGTTTAATGGTAAAACATGTGACTTTTAATCATTATCATGTGGGTTCAAATCCCATAAGTCTTATTAATCTAATATAAATGACTATAAGTTAACGGTAGACTGCTTATTTACCACATAAGATGTGCTGATTCGAATTCAGCTAGTCATAAAATAATTTAGATTCTATATGATAAAGATCATATATCTAAATATATATATTTTCAATTAATTAATTAAATTGAATTAATATTATATAATATTAATTATGGCTATAAGTTAATGGTAGACTGTTTACCTTCCAAGTAAAGTGTGTCGATTCGAATTCGACTAGCCATAAAATAAAAATTAAAAAGGGTTAGTAACTTAATTGGCAAAGGGTTTTCTTGTCGAGAAAATAGATGCCGGATCGAAGCCGGTTTAACCCGTAATAAAGGAAAGGTCGCTATTAGGTAAGGCAAGATATTTGCTAAATATTGTGTATACTCACTTAGATGTTCGATTCATCTCTTTTCCGATAAAGAGTATAGTTTAATAGGTAAAACTGTAAGCTTCAACCTTATATTTCTTAGTTCAAATCTAAGTGCTCTTGAAACTATATCTTATAGTATTTATTATATTAGGATATACAATATAGGTTCTTTGATTTAATTGGTTAAAATACTTTCTTGATAAGAATGATTTCAGTGTTCGAACCACTGAAGAATCAAAATTGTATATAAAGATTTTTTTTTATACATAATAAGAGAGTTGGCTGAGTGGTTTAAGGCGACTAGCTTGAGTCTAGTTAAAGATAAAACTTTCATATGTTCGAATCATATACTCTCTGATATATAATAAAAATATATATAATAAAAAAAAA